AATACTTTAAAAATTATTTTTTAATAGCGTTTTAAACAGGTTAAAACAGCTTTAGAAGCAGTCGAAAAATACATTAAAAATACACTTTTCACTTTTCACTTTTCATTTAAAACCTATTTCACAAAATAGGTTAAAAACAGTTTTCAAAAATAGCTTAAAATCGAAAGAGTTTTCCTAAACAAGAACGCATCGAAGTGGGAGGAAAGGGAACATTGTTTGAGCAGGGTTCTATCAAGAAAATTGTCATGCTGCGTGTACTGAGTTAAGGAAATGACTTCACAAAGCAATTGTCTTGTGTTCTTGGTAACCAGGCAACAGGAACATAGCGTTGTAATGGTGGACGAAAATTAATGGTGTTTGAACGCCAAAAAAGACCACTTTCCTTAATCGTATGAAGCTATAATTTGCACACCATGTACTTCAAGTACTAAACTGCCCATCTAGCAAAAAAAAAAATGGTAGTCAAGGATTTGATCGTAGTAGCATTTTAATGTTCTTGCTTATGTTGGGCCAGAACAAACCCTCTCTTGCCCTGCTGAGACCTTTTTCCACCCCTACATTGGAGGACAAAAGAACTTGGGACTGTGGGAAAAAGCCCTTGCAAGCAATAATTCCGTAGGATTCTGCTCCTAAGGACATTTTTTTGTTCGGCTTTGGGTTCATACCGTCGTCCCCCCTCTTTCCCTAGCAATGTTGTGGCCAAAAGCACTCAGTTTCACCCATTTTGCTCCAAATTTAACTTTGTTTGGGGTGGGAGGGGAGGGGTCGCTAGTTTTAGTAATATCACTGGAAAGGTCCCAACACTTTTGACCTCCATTGTCTGAAAACCACTTTGTTAGAAAACTAGAAGTTGCCTTGTGAGCTGTTGCACAATGAATATCTTAATGCTGGAATTGATCTTTTGACGACGGTATGATATATTTTTTCAGACCAGAACAGCTATTCTTTTGCTCTAAGAGTGCTGGAAATAATCACGACATTTAGCCGTATCACCATATAGAGCACTTTTCTGTGATATGTTTGCAAAATTTCTTCCTTTGTCTTTGTAAAAAGCAATGTAGCGTCAGTAACACTTTCGGCAACAGTTCCAGACATGTCAAATGGTCGATATTTTATAGTATCCTTAACATTGATGCCAAATACGACAGTGTAACGGAATCTCGAGGTTGCGTTACACTGAGTAGCGCCTGTTAGCATGTCTCGCCTTCAGTTCTCGGCTATTTAAGTGAATATATATGTCCTTAGAAATCTGATTTATCATCAAACTGTATCGACACAGTGATAAAATGTTTGTTTGCGATGAATATTGCTATTTGCCTGCATAAAACGGAAGCGTTGAGTGATTTACGACAGTTCTCGCCCTTTTATAGTACAAAAATAATGTTTGACCTTTTGTCTATTATTTAGTTAGGGGCGAGAACTGTTATTATTTCATGAATCACACATTTTCTTTTGTTATTCAACATCCTTTACTTAACTTACATACTTCATGAATATTTAACTAACTGAAAGTCCGGGGAGGGCTTGATAATGTAGCAGGGAAGAGCGGGGCTGATGAATTGAATAAATTGCTAATTATAAATGCAAGGACAATATCTCTATAAATACCCGGGATTTATTTGTTTATTGCCCTGCTGCCCTCGGCAATATACAAATAAATCCCTTCCATTTATAATGAGCAATTAAAGTAAATCATACACGTCCTTTGACCCCGCCAAACATTCTGAGAAAATTTCTCTCTTTAACACAAATATAGAAATTTATTTTGCAACTATAGAAAATACAGTAGTATCCCTTATATCATACAGGCTATGTGTTCACTCTAAGAAAATTTTAAGTCTTTGGATATTACAAACGAGCAATTCTGGAAAACAACACTATTTGATCCTTTCACAGTCGCGTTGTTGTCATCTTGGCAAAATCTTTTTACTTCGTCATCAACTAACTGATCTACTTCTCTTTTTAACGAGGACTCGGCTTCCTTTTCTCCTACGGATCGTTCGGATCGACAATTTAATGCTTTAGAAATCTCAATTTTGGTAGAGACATCAGGCCTCTGATACCTTTGTAAAGATCTGATATCTCGGTGGCCCGTACGCTCCATAATCAACTTATCTGAGATTCCTTTTTCCAGTCCACGTGTTGCTGTTGTGGCCCTCAGACTGTGATTGCTGAATTGGCCCTGTAGGTCTGCGTCTTTACACATTTTGCTAACAACGTTTCCAAGCTTGTTATGTCCAACAGGAGTCGATGTAAACCAAACTGCAAAAATTAACAGTGAAAATAAAAATATGAAACAAAACTGAAACTTCTAATTACCGTCTCCGGCTTTCTTTTCGACTTCAACACTATCTCGTTCGCTTACTTCTCTAAAGTCTCCCACTAACTCTTCCAAATTCAACCCAGGGGAAAAAGGCTCCTGAGAGAAAGTATTTTGCGTTAGGAAAATTTCGTCGTCACTATCCATTGCCGATCTCACAAGTGTACTGGCCCCCCAAAAAATACCAAGACAAAAATAAAAAAACACAAAAGGTTTGAAATTTGATTGTTGTCGGCTTAGCAAACAAACAATGCGCTATTGTTCTCCGTTTCTCACCTAAGTGAGAACAAGTGGTTTGAACAAATTATGACCGGTGAAACGCCCTTTCTCGATGCTGTGTGAAAACCTGTACAATACTTACAATGAAGTACGTCATTGTCTGCGGTCGGATTAAAAAATGACAAACAAACAGATGTCAAAAACAAGTGGCCAATTATTGCCCTGTGAAAGACGACCTTTATGTAACCTATACCTCATGAATAATATCATGAAATAAGTTAGATAAACCCCTCGGACGTCGGTATTAATCCATATACATCCCTCGGGCCTACGGCCCTCGGGATGTATATAGCTTAATACCTCCGTTCTCGGGCTTTATCTCTTACAAAGTAGGGTATTATGCTTGAGACTTTCCAGTACAAGCACGTTTTTCTCTCAGACTAGAGGAGATACAATATGTGAAAGCACATAATTTGCTTATCACTTTTTCAAACGCAGGAAAATGTACTTTTTACAGGTGAGAACTGTAGGGTGAGAACTGTGGAGTAACGCAAAGTATAGAATAAGTCACGCATAGTAATTTTCGGCAATATCAGGGCAGATATGTTGGGAGCAGTCAACAGAATAATGTTAGCGGAGCAGAAGTCACAGGGAATTATGCTCACCGTTTAATTTGGCTGTTTGATCGCCAAAGTGTAAGACAATCTTCTGAAATTTTTTCATGTCTCCGTGTTCACACGTTGACGCAGAACCAACAGAGCGCGCTCTAAGTATATCTGGGACGGGCCTTAGAGAATGTTAGTTTGTAGGGTATAAAAAGGGACATTTTCTGGCTTGGCTAAGAAATGCCTTTTCTGTCTTCTAAGTGCATCTTCTCAGATAGTAAAAATAAGTACTAACAGTATTAAATGCCTTTAAGAGCTCAATCCAAAACACGCCGTTCAAATAATCACTTAGTTCCTTTTGGGTAAACTGAATGTCCAGGCCGAATACCCCCGTTTGGCAAGGTATCCGTAACTCTTTAGCGCGACAGACGGATCAACTGCAGCGCATAGAAAGCATTTTCTTAAAAAAACTACACTTTAACAGTTCTAATGAAAAAGTTTCCCTATATTTTTGAAGTGAAAGATGACGAAAAATTCATTTTATCGCTGTAAATCTATTTCGGACAATGGAGGACAAAAGAACTTGGGACTGTGGGAAAAAGCCCTTGCAAGCAATAATTCCGTAGGATTCTGCTCCTAAGGACATTTTTTTGTTCGGCTTTGGGTTCATACCGTCGTCCCCCCCACTTCCCCTAGCAATGTTGTGGCCAAAAAAAGCACTCAGTTTCACCCATTTTGCTCCAAATTCAACTTTGTTTGGGGTGGGAGGGGAGGGGTCGCTAGTTTTAGTAATATCACTGGAAAGGTCCCAACACTTTTGACCTCCATTGTAGGTGACTGCCCTGAATTTTCTCTAGCATTTCATCTCGAAACTATATAGAGTGATAAGACGATCACCTTTCATCAACAGTTCATCGCAAATACACAGTTCATCTCTAAAGTTCCAGTAATCTTGTAATTCTGGCTCCACTTCTGACCAGTTCTCAGGCCAGCCTGTTAAAATCACTTTCTTCAGTTTCGATAACACTGGATCACTGTCCGTTTCTCTCTTAAACTCATCAGCCTTTTCTTTTGAAATTTGTACAAGCAAATGGACTTCAAACTCATCTGCCTTTGATGTAGACTCCAACTGACTAGCACGGCTAAGGGTATCTGCAATGTGCAACTGGTCACCAGGTCTGTACTTGACTATCAGGTCGTACTGTTGTACACGAAGCATCATTCGCTGAATGCGCTGTGGGGCCATAGATAATGGTTTCTTGAACAAAATCTCTAGAGGTTTGCGGTCACTTTCTACCAAAACTGTGCTGTACTGTACTAGTGAAATTTGCTGGTACCAAAGACAGCAGCTAAACATTTCCTTTTCTATTTGAGCATAATTTCGCTCGGCACTGTTCAGTGATCTTGATGCTTAGGCTACTGGTTGGTCCCCTTGCAGCAAACAGGCACCCAGACCATGCATAACATAACAGCTATTTTCTCCATAAACATTTCGTATCCTTCTCATTCGCCAGGGTTGCGGCCGCGTTCCAATATGTCTCTTACTCAAGCCCTGAGTGGCTCACTCGGATTATTTAACAATTAATGAATTCGGCTTTCGTATCTTATAAAGAATTATGGAGATCGAGGAGGATGTTATCCGTCGAGGCCGTAGGCCGAGGCGGATAACACCCTCCGAGATCTCCATAATTCTTCATATGATACGAAAGCCGAATTCAATAATTGTTTTATCATTCATTCAAAATAATTCCTAGTTTAAAAACATGGCTAAACCATGCTTACCTCCATCGCACCATCGATGTTAAGTTCATCTTCGATAGTGCACGTTTAGGTTTGTCCAGCTCCGCAAATATTCTCCAAATAGCAGATGTTGCCCTTCGAGTTGTCTTCTTGCTGTTCTTGCCATGTTTTTAGCTATTTTTTCGCCTAGCTCTTACTCTTGAAACGGGTGAAATGACCGCCATTTTTGTTTCCACAACCAAAACAACTCAACCTCGTCCCCAGGTCTTCTCGGTTAACGGTGCCTTAACCTGCACGAACGCTGCATTTTTTACGTCATTTCCTCGTTAAACACAAAATTCTTCCAAATTTGGTCATCAGTAACTGGTTATGGTGAATTAAACGTGTGCTTTTAGCCAATCAGAATCGGGGAAATAATTATTTTGAATGAATAATAATAAGAGTTAATCTGAGTTAAGCTCAAAGGGTCTCACAGACTACTCAGAGTGTCTCTAAGTTTAATCAGTATATGTCGATGTGAACAACTCTAATGACTCACGACAATGTTGCTTAAAATTAACATCTTTTTATATATGCCTCGATAAAAAATGGAATCCAGTTAAGTTCATTAAACATAGTTAATGTGCGTGTTGTTCTTTCGGCGTCCAATATAATGCGTGCAGCTCTCTTCTGTATTCGCAAGACTCTTTCAAGATGATCAGATTGGACTGAGGTACAACATAACTGGCTTTATAACAGCGAGATAATTAACTTGTGCCTTTGTTTTAGATAAGGACTAATATGCCTCAAAAGTCCAAGTCGTTTTGACAGTTTCTTACATAATACATCTATGTGTACTTCAAAGCTAAGATCTTTATCAATGATTAAACCCAGTTAATTGTGATGCGATAATTGGTCAATATTTGTGGCGTCAAGGCGTAGTTGTAAGATTGCGGTATACACTTCATGGTGGAAAGCCACAAGTGCACCGGTAGTATACACTCTGTGTAATATATAGTATTGTGTCTTCTCCCTAATAGCTAGTGGTAGTAACTAGTAGTTACTCGTAGTTACTAGTATTTGCTGGGAGTTACTATTAGTTGCTGGTGGTTATCGGTAGTTACTAGTAGTCATTAGTAGTTACTAGTAGCTGTCGGTAGTTACTTAACAATTAATGAATGAGGCTGAGTATCTTATGAAGAGTTATGGAGATCGAGGACGGGGTTATCCGTCGAGGCCGTAGGCCGAGGTGGATAACACCCTCCGAGAGAGGCGACATCTGCTATTTAGAGAATTCTGATTGGCTAAATGCACACGCATAATTCACCATAACCAGTTACTGATGACCAAATTTGGAAGAATTTTGTGTTTCACGAGGAAATGACGTCAAAAATGCAGCCGTCTACAGGTTAATGCACCGTTAACCGAGAAGACCTGGGAACGAGATGGAGTTGTTTTCGTTGTAAAAACTAAAATGGCGGACACTTCACTCGTTTCAAGAGTAAGAACTGCAGATGGAACTAGGCCAAACAATGGCTAAAAACATAGCAAAAACAGCAAGAAGACAACTCTGAGGGCGACATCTGCTATTTGGGGAATATTTGAGGAGCTGGACAAACCTAAACGTAAACTATCGAAGATAAACTTAACATCGATACAGGTAAGCTTGTCTTAGCTATGTTTTAAACTAGGAATTATTTTGAATGAATAATAAAACAATTATTGATTCGGCTTTCGTATCATATGAAGAATTATGGAGATCTCGGAGGGTGTTATCCGCCTCGGTCTACGGCCTCGACGGATAACATCCTCCTGGATCTCCATAATTCTTCATAAGATACTCAGCCTCATTCATTAATTGTTAAGTAACTACCAACAACTACCAGTAACTACTAGTACCTAACGACAACTACTTGTAACTACCAGTAACTACCACCAACTACTAGTAACTGCTAGTAACTACCGATAACTACTAGTAATTAACATTAACTATCGACAAGTACTAGTAACTACTGGTAACTACCAATAACTACAAGTAGCTACCAGTAACTACCGACAACTACTAGTAACTACTGACAACTACCAGTAAGTACCAGTCAGAGCTCAACATAACGGCCGGCCAACGGACAATGTCCGGCCTGATCGTGGACTTGACCGGTCAAACTCTCGTCTGGTCGGTCATTTTTGGATACGAACATTTTATAATATTTTGCATAAGTTGTCGCTTAATTCGTTTTGCTCCATAACGCTGTAGTGACTTCTTTTTTTCTTTGGCTTTTTTTTTTTTTTTTTTTTTTGCTGCTGCTTTGCACGCCGCTCGTACTGTGCTTTCTGCTTGTGCTAAAATCAATACGATAACGATAATCTGTTATCCGTTAGGAAACTAAAGGATAGCTAACAGTTTTGGGCAAATCGATCGCAATTCTCAACAGGTCGTCCGGTACGGTTTCTCCGGGAATAAATTTTAGCACATCGATTTTATAATAATTTCTTTGTGCCGAACATGAATTTCGTTTGCGGACTCGATTCCAGAACAGTCTGATAAAAATTTAAGCTAATCGAGAACGAACGTTGTTTATCCCTTAGATCAAGCAGACGTGGAGGAGTTTGAATAATGCAATAGGCCAAAACAAAAAG